TTCGATCATTCCTTTTTTTTTTTCCTGGAGGGGATGGAATTAATTAAGAAGTCTAGAGGAAAGAGGGGAATTTGAAACCAAGACCTTTAAATTCAGATACCTCAATCTTAATTATTACACCAAGACCTCCTTGGCTTTTGAGCATACTTGCTTACTATTTTGATAGTTTTGACAATTTTGTAGAATAAACTTGAAGTGTCAAAAATCAAAGTTCAAGAATTAAAGTAGAATGAACTTCACACTGTAGGAGTTAATGAGTCTAAAATTGAAGCTTAAAAACTAAAATAATAATACGTATATGGTCAAAAGTGTCCTAACTGAAATTTACTAACCACTACTATTTAAGTAACAGCATCACACAAAAATTACTATGAAGCTATACCCAGAGTGTATTATTATGTTTGACATGTGCAATTGTCTAATTACGCATCTTCTGGATTTAGCTCATTTCCAATGGATTCTCTCTTTATTTTTCGTAGTGCATATCTGAATGCATGACACGTGTCTTCATTTATTAATAAAAATTAGAATTAGTTAAATTTAAAATGGTCATATCTCTTTCTAATAATTAAAAACACATCATCATTCACCTAGACAGTATTGTAGAAAATGGAGAGAGAATTCATTGGAGAGGAGCCAAACTCCGCATCTTCTATGCCTCATTATAGTAAGGTTTAAAACATGGTCTGAGAAAAAAAAAATATGAAAATTAATGGATGAACAAAAGGAAATGGCTTAGTCCATTGTACACTCAGATGCTACAAGAATACACAAAATTTCTTCGTATTTGCACAACCTCAGAAACATTTATATCAAAGTTGTACAATAATGTGCAAGACATAAAATTGTCAATTATAAACAATCAAGAATAATATTTGATCAATTGAATCACAATTTCAAACCTTTTAACTACTCTTTTCTCCAAGCATACAATAACAAGGAAAATCCTCCAGCACTCCCACTTGACCTTGTAGATGAACACGAACTTCTTCCACAATCACTACTCTCCTCAGCCCATTGCAACACACTAGAGCACGACGGAGACGGTGGCAAAGACACCGATGACATGCCCGATTGCCCGGCGGCCGCCACCACAGAGGACAAGCTTTTCCTCATTAATTTTTTCTCAGCTCCAACCATTTCAGGCCAAATTCCACCATCACCAATTTGGAAAATGAATACACCATGGGCACTCCCATTTTTGTGAATGTCACACTTATTTATCCAATTAAACACATCCCAATAAAACTCTACTTCCACTCCACCAACAGTAATTTTCTCATTCCCCCTAAATTTCCAAGCTAGCCTTTTGACCACTAGCCTTGTTTCTCCGTCGACTTTTACTTTGAGCACTCCACCGCCACAATCTATTCCAATTTCGTGTTTGGAACCCATAACTTGAGCCTGGGTCACATAACTCCTGCGCCCAAACACATGCTCTCGCCGAGACAACAGAGTTGACTCGTCCGAGTACCGGACTCTGGAAAAGACCGACTCGGCCCGCCGAGTCAACTCGTCGAACCGGTCACCGAGAAAGAACTCCATTCTTGAATTGCAAGCAATTGCAAAGTAGAAACCTGACTCGGGCTCAGCTGAGTTCTGCTGAGTGAACTTGGCCCGAGTAAAGTCCCAGTACAACTTCAGTTTCTTATAATGGCTGTTGGTCAAGTGTATGGATTTAGATCCGGGCCGGGCCCTGAAGAACGGGAAGGATGATGGGTACAGAGGAATGGTTATGGAGAAAAAACCTGGTGCATGGATGGTTAGGGTATGGGAGAAGAGGGTTTTTGACCAGGTGAGCGTGAGATGGGTTGGTGAGTTGCACAAGTGAGTTTGATAAATGCATGTAATGAGGTTTTGAGGCATTTGTGTTGGTGACGAGCTGTTTGAGTTGGATTCTGGGCTGCTGAAACATGCAGGGATCATTGTTTTTCTTTGCTTTTTGATAGATGGATGGTAGAAGAAAACGTTATATCCCCCTCACAAAACCTTTCCAATAGCACATAGAACAACACACACTGGAGGTGAAAAAGAGAGAGAGAGAGATAAAGGGAGAGGAGAGAAAAAGTTCAGAGGCTTATGAATGTGATCTTATGGTGTTTAACAAGAAGAGAGCAGGGCACTCAAGTTTTCTGCTGCTTTTTAGCTGTAAGGAGAAGTATAAGGACTCGGAAGGGTGGACACTTTGAACGTTGAATGATGACAAGAAAAAAAGCACCTATAAAGATGCGTATTTATATAATTAGGGCTATATTTTTTTTTGAGCCCCCCACTTTTTATGTTGCAAGGACAAGTCCTATTTTTCACACATTACACCTTATTAATGTCTTTTATTAATGTCAAACCATTGATCAGGCGCAAATGTCTTGTATTATCATGCAGATCTCTAGCACGGCCACTTAATTATTGATCAGACACAATAAAATTGTCCACCATTTTATTTCAATACATAGTGAAAAAGGGAAAAGTGTAGACAATAAGACTCAGCTAATAATAGTTAGATATAATGCGATGTTACACAAGGAATTATGTATTTCTAAAGTATCCCATCAACTCCATATGTGGCTATATGCACTTATGCATTTATTATACAAAATTTTCAACGGTTAATTGGGATTGGAAAACTTAAATTAAAACTTGGGGTTCAAAATTGAGATTTGGTATAAATATATTGTTTAAAAGTGATAATACTCCCCATATATAACCATGCTGGCTATCTTGATTTCTATCACAATAATCATCTGTTCTTGCATATTGTAAGATGGTCTTGAGCGCACACAGATAATGCATATATATAACGTCTGAGTTGGTTTCACAAAAGAGCTTGATTAGCGGCTTTGACAGAGAGGAAGAAATGATTTTTCGGTCATGCAATATTTATATACGGGGGTGAGCTGGGATGCACTAGCTTAATTGGTCTAGCCAGGAGGGATGATTGAGAAATGGATAAAAGTCACAGGAGCAGGTGATCTGGATTACCTTTGCCCCTTTGTAAAAGGGATTCGATGGTCCTTTCTGCTTTAAACAAGAAAAATTTCCACTGTGCCATCTCAATCGGTTTTGAGATGGGGCCTTGGTAGAAGAGAGATTGATCAACTTTCGAAATCTTGATTTGTAGGGGTATTATTCTGCTTCCTTGTATTCTATCAGTAGAAGGATTTGAAATTGAAAATACATGGTTAGTGATTCAATAATTAGGGGTAATTGGTGATAGACTGTTATAGTCAAAACTCTCAGAATTTAAGTCACATAGAGGGATGTGTAAAAAATTAGTAGAATATAAAAGCATTTTATCATGAATCTAATCCCATCAAATTTTTGCTTCTTGATTAAAAGATCTAAGTGCAGATTTTGGGGCAGTGACCAATCTTATGTTTTATTTGTTAATTGAAATAAACAAGCAAGCCATTGTATGTAGACGCAACATTCTAGTCCACTTTCTTCCTAGAATTCAATAGTCGAGTCTTTCTTGATTTTTCATTCTTTGTCCTTCACTGAGATGATTTGCATAAGCATACCATTGATTTTTGTCGGATTAGCTGATTTTTCAGTGTTTCTGATTTTGAAACCGCGGTATTGGTAAAAGTCGTCTCTGAGCTACAAATCTTGGTGTCAAACAAATGAAAAGTATTAGAGATTAGAATTGTCAAGGGTTAAATCTAAGCTTTATTGCTAATTGAAAATTTCATATACCATTCCTATGGATTTGAACGTAGACCTCATTTTCAGGTAATTCTAGTACAAATGATTTTGTTTTGTTTATTTAACCTAAAAATTTATATGTTTTATAGATGTAATATTATTTCTCTTCTATTTAATGCTATCTTTATTTCATTTGACTCTATTTTCCCTGCTTTCGTTTTCTTAATGGCCTTTAAAAACCATGAATTCTTTTAATCAATTAAACTAGATCCATTGGCATGCGAAATTCTTTATTAAGATTGTCCACTTGAAATATGGAAAGATTAATGGCACAATTGAAGTTTTTTATAGTAAGATGGTAAATTAAGTGTGTCCATATCTGGGGGAGTGATGGGTTGGATGGTTCAAGAAGAGCGAATGTAAATGAGAAGTTTCGAGTTTGAACTCTCCTACTAAAAAAATGTGTCCATATTTATATTTTTCTTCTTTTATTCAATTGGAAAAACAACTTTGTCGTTATGAAATGGTACTAACTAGGGTTGAAAAGGAATCAAATCGAATCGAACTTTTCATAATTTGAGTTCAATTCAAAATTTTGTGCTCAAAATCTAAATTTGAGTTCGATTTGATTTAACATTCGATGAGTTCAAACTCAATTTGAGAGCTCAAAAATTTATTTAATTCTTCAATTTTTAATATTAAATTATCACTAATACATATATAATATCTATCTAATAAATAATAAATATATAATTTAAATAAAATATTATTATTCTAATTGAATCAAGTTTTAATGAGTCAAATATCTACAAGTTCGAAATCAATTTAATACTATAAATGAATTCCAATTCCTATTGGAATTTGAGCTCAAGTTCATTGTAAATTGAACTCAAATCGAGCCCTTAACTAATTGAGACCAAATTATTCATTGAACGTTCAGTTTGTGTACAGCCCTAGTACTAACTAAGCGACATCGAAGCTAACAGAAAAAATAGAATATGAATTTATTATGGAGAGATGCAAACTTAATATGAATTTATGATGTAGAGATGCAAACTTTTTTTCCCATAAGCATGAAACATTTGTTGGGAAAAAATTTGCATAGAAATTTATGTCATTTACAGTTATCCCATGTTCCGTAAGCAAAATCATTTGTACAGAAAGGCCATTTCACGTTAGATGGAGGGATATTCCTTAGGGGATTGTGAAATCTTTGGCCCAACTCTCAAACTCCCCTCTTTCTCCCTTCTTCCTTACTAGGAGGGGTTCACCGCGCAAGTGCGCGGTGGGAAAATTTGAAAATGTATATGCCCAGGTAGATTCTATTAACGGAGATAATCGAGAAAGGCAAGAAAGCGGAATGAAATCAGACAATAATACATAGAGCATATAAATTGCTATAATGTAGTTGCAATAACTCATAACAGATGGATGGGGGAATAATAAAAAAAGTTCAAAGTCTAGCAGCCATCTGGCTAGAAATAGCTTAAAAATTAAAGGCAAGCGAAGAAAAGCTTAGTTGTTGATGTTAAGGCCATTGAAGTTGATGTGATTGATGTTCATGGGTTCATCCATAGCGTATGAAGTAATTATTTCATAGGCTGCACATTTGATGCCGGCGAATCTGGAAGAGGAAGGTTTAACGTAGAACAGTTTTGTCCTTTTTTTGCAGAGTACGCATGAGGTATGAAGCTAGATCAATTTTCTGGGTCAAGAAAACGAAGGGAAGAAATTAGTGTAAAGAAAACATAAAGGAAAGAAAACACTCGTGACTGGATAGGGATGAATAGGCACCTGTTCGTATAAATAATGGAGTTCAGCAGTTGAGTAGTTAATTAAATTTTCAGCTTCAGTTCCCATAGCAGTAGCAGCCAATGATCCGCTTGAATCAGCAATGAAAATGGTAATACAAGCTCTGTAAGGGAGAAAATGGTATAACAGTTATGAAAAAGTATGGATTTCATGAATTCATTGAGTAAAGTGATTGTATGCACTGAAGAGCTTTAAAAACCTTGGTAAGAGTTCAATGTTAGCCTGACAGTATTCGCATTGAACTATCGATGTGCCTGCAAAGCTGTTTGGTTGATGACATTGGGGGCATGCCATATAGAATAATTTTTGGGGCCTAAAGGAAATTTCAATGATTCCTCTAATCCATGCAGTAGTGGTTCTCTGTAAAATAATAATAATAAGGATAGAAGGGAGGTAAACATGATTTATAGAATATAAATAGCAACAAGACAGTGACCTGTTGAAGTGCAGCACTAATACGAAGAATTCTATTATTGGCAACATGAGGGAGAAGAACTCGCGGATCAGTGTAACTTCCATTATCAATTAGCTTGTCTATTGCAAGTGCATGACTATGGTACCTGATATATATAAAATGGGAGAAACGGTCTTTAAGTGGCTCAATGTAAATGGGAAAGCGGTGTATCATATATTTAATAGTTCTGACCAGAAATCAAGATGCATTGCTTGTTGCAAAAATGGAGCCACCGTAATGGCTGAACAATAAGAAGTTGAGAAGCTCAGGTCTGGTATTGAAATAAAAAAAGTGTTAAAACCAACAGCTTTCTAAGAAACATATGCATTTAACGTTCTTGAAGAAAAAGAGAGTAGTATATAGCTACAATTGTTTGTTGTCACCCTGACTCTTGTCGCAATAATGATGGGAAAATGGCGCCCAGGAGCTCTAATGATGGGACCATCCAGTTCTTCGAATTCTTTCCAAAGGGTTAGAATCATTGGTTTCATACTGGGAAGAAAAAGAGAGTATAAAGTCTAAGAACCTTTTCTGGAATCAAAAGCAACAGCCGTCGCCGGCAACAGCATCAGTGCATACAATCATCAGGTTAGAATCATTAGTGCTTTTTTAAGACGGCAATGCATCACGGCGACAGCATTAGCATCCGCCCATCTTTCCTTTTCTTTGCAGCATTAGCATCACGGCGACGGCGCAAAAGCTCGGCCTTTTCTTGCTCTGGCATTTCGGCATAGCGTTTACGACGCCTTGAATTCCTATCCATGTTCTTAGACTGGAAGGCTGAAGAAGATAAACTAAGCCCAACAACCAAAGGAAAAATGACACAGCAACACCCAGAGTGCAGAACAGGCAAGAGAAGAAATGGAATAGATACAATCACACAGCAACAAACACAGAGGCATGCAACAGAGGCACAGAGTAGAGGACAAAACATTTTTTTTGTAGCAAGAAATTCGAGCACAGGAGGACAATAATAAAAATATGTAGAGTAGAATGAAAGAGCACAAGGAAGAACGAATATGCTTAAAGGAAGGAACAGGAGATTAGAATAGTTTAAAAACCTGAACTGGCTCAAACAAGCACTGACTGGAAGCACACGTCTCCAAAGCCAAAAGGGCACCAGGTGAAACAGAACTGGCGCAACACACTGCCACAGCTTCCAGAAAAACAACGAAAGGTTTAGCACGCACACAACAGCAGAAGCAACAATGAATAACATGGAGAAAGAAAATAAGAGCAAAGAAAATAGACAAAAAAAAAAGCACAAACAAGCATTACAGCGAACAAACAGAGTGCAAAAAGGAGAAGGATGAAAGAAAATGAGCAGCGAACAAGGCAAGGTTGAGAGGATGTAAGCGACCAACAAACAAACGAAGAGAGCTAAAAGCCGAGGGAAAATGATAAAAAAATGGCTGCAACGAAAACAAACGCGAACATGCACAGCATCGACGAAGGCAACAACACAAACCCGCATTTAAAAAAACCAGAGGAAGGAAAAGTAAGGAGCTAGAGCTGTGGTTGTGGAAGACAACAATGCAACAGTAACCAGCTACAAGCAAAGGAAAAAGACCGGGAACATGCAGAGGAAATTTAAAACATAGAGAAAATGCAGAAAATCTCTGGAAACAAAAGGAACATCACCATACACAGCATCAGTGCAGCATAAAAAAGCAAAAGGAAAAAGACTAAGAACCTGCAGCTGCGTTTATGGAAGACGGCAATGCAACAATAACCAACTCCAGAGCTAACAACCAGGAAACAAAAAGAATGTAAGACAAACAGAGCTAAAAGAGTACAACACAAAATTTTAAAAAGCAAAAGCAACGGTGAAGACAGAATACACTCACCATAAGCACAGCAAACAAGCGATAGCAAAAAGCAGCGAACAGAAGACAGAGCAATCAAAAGCAAGCTAAATGGAACCCAAAAAGAAAGATATCCAGCAGAAACCGACCGAATTACCCAACGGTTACGAGGTTTCCTAGCATGGCCGTACAGGGATTAAATGCCTCGTTCGTAAAAGCCGAAGCAAGTTGAAGATTGGAAATTTGGCGGTAGAGGCCATTTGACACAGATGGGCACACCCGCAGAGATTATTACCAACAAATACAGAAGTAAAAAAACAGGTAAAAAAAACAAACTCTCAAGGAGCAAAACGTAATTTCACCTCTGACCAAGAGGCTGTTCTGCCGCTAATGACTAATGATGACTATGACTAATGACTAATGACATCAGTTCATTTGTTTTGGGGAAAAATATATATATATATAAAAACCATGCAAAAACTACCTGTCTTAAAGAAGAAGAAGACCACCTGGTACGGGAAGCTGACATCATAACCAGCGGCCAATCCCTACAACGCACATGGGCGGACGACCATCCAACGTGGCAGGGGGCGGTTCCCTCTTTATCTATATGGTTAATAAAGTGGAAAATCTCATTAGCTTCACAAACACAAGGTTGGAAAACTCTAAACCAAAACGTTTATTCGAGGAAATCCCCATCTCTAACAAGCTTATTATTTCGTACGTCTCCTTGAAAATACAAACTTTCCAATCTAAAGAAAAATAAACTCTTCAAAGTTGTGTGAATTGGACTTGAAACTACCAACTTGTTGAAAGCAATTATAGATGCTTTTCTGCAAGAAAGTTTACAAAGGTAGAAAGTTGTCTGTAGGGAACAAGCACTCCGTAAACCTCAAGCAAAGACACTGAAATTGTATATTCCATCACACGTTCCTAAAGTTTTGCCCATTCATTTCTGGCGTACAATTACCAGGAAAATGGGATGAGCAGCAAAGGTGCCTCGTATGAAGAGAGAATGTTTGGTTTGGTGGAAACAAGCTGTAACTTTGTCAAAAAAAAAAAAAAATGTGGAGGGTTTTTATTTTTAATTTTATTCATTTTTTTAATATAAGTGAAAAGACTCGAATTCGAGATCTTGTATTCACACTCCCTCTTTTCAAACCACCCATTCCACCACTCTCTTGAAGGGTTTTTAATTTTTTATTAGTATGACAACAAATAAATTAATTGTTGCTATAAAACATTATTTCAGATAATTCTAAACATATTTTTAACCGTTTTTTTATTTTACATATAAATTTATCAACAAAATCACTATAATGATTTTTTTGGGTTTAAAATCCCCCCCCCCAAATAACTATTCAAGCGTAGCTATATATATCACTGAGACTACAATTGAAGACCTTCGATTGTCTATCTTAAATATTATTTTTTTTAAAAAAAAATCATTCAAATCCCTTACATTTTATTAAATAATTTTTTTTTCTTCTTTCACTTTTAAAATGTCAAATTTACATCCCTCATAAATTTAAGTCAACATATATATACAAGTTGACATTTGACCAAAAAAAAATAAATTTAAGTCAATAAAATTTGGTCTCAACCTAAATTTTTAACCACTTTTCACCGTGAAATCCATCATGTAACTCACACATGATCAATTTAATGAGTAGATACCATTTGTACTTAAACAAATGACCCAATTCATATTCATGCTTTATTCTCAGCTTCATTCTTAAAAAGTGAAATTAGCTATATTCATTTTTCCTAAAAAAAAAAAAAGATCTTAGCTGATCTATATTCATTTTTACCCCTAAACAAGTGGAATTTGACCTTTTTGTACCTAAAAATGATCACATATGAGTCACATGGTGATTTTTAGACTAAAAAGTGATTGAAAAACTAGGTTGGGATCAAAATTTATTGACATGAATTTATAATGGAGATAAAATTAATATTTTAAAAGTGAAAAACGAAAAAATTCATTTAGCGAAATGTAAAGGACATTTTGAATGATTTTTTATTTTTAATTTTTTCTTCAACTAAAAACGTATCATTTTTTTCATCCTTTTGTAAATCCTTTTTTCCATCTACTGGATCAAATCTTATGTTGCTAGAGGTGGATATTTAAAATGACAATACTAGTATTAATATTCTAATTAAACTCTCTTGTTCGCCATGCTTAGACAAAGAATGGATTTTATGGGTTTGTTTGGATAGTGTATTATTTGAAATATTATTTGGAATAATTACTGTAGCACTTTTTGTGATGTGATGTATGTGAGATAAAAAGTAGTTGGGAATATAAAAAGATAGTTGGGAATATAAAAGTAGTGGATATTTTTTTCCTTTTTCCTTCTTATTCATTTCATTTTATATTTCATCAAAAAATCTGAAAAACTATCAATGTTGTTCTTAATCTCTATCTTGATCAAACATCAAACTAATAACTTTTTTTTGATAACTTCTAATATCATCCAAATTTTTATCTCTTTTTTTTTATACCAAAATCAAGAATAAATCAATAAAAAAAATGCCCCAAAATCACTACCAAATTGTGGTAGTTCTACCATTGAACTACTCCAAAAACTTTTTAAAAAATCAAGATAACGCTTTCTTTTCTATCTTAAAAAGAATCTATATTCCCAATAAATCACTATGAAAAGTAACCTATTATAGTGATAGATTTATTGTAATAGTTGATTATTCAACAACAAACAATGACATGAAAAATTTGACACTCATTCCTTTTGTAATTGTGCAAATTACATTACAACTGTTTAGCAGAATAAATTAAATATTATAAGATAAGGGCATTTTAGGGTATTCATTAAATTTTTTAACCTATTTTAAGATTTGGTTACTGAAAATGTCAAATCAAGAGAGTTAAATGTAGTTTTTAAAAATTTTAAGGGAGCTAAGTGAAATAGTTAAAAACTTTAAGGGAGGTTTTTGAAATTATCCCAAAAGAAAAATACAAACTACTAAAGATCAACCTAGAAGAAGTAAAAAAAAAAAGAGTCTATCCTTGTCAGATAAGGAAAGTGAAATAGTTAAAAACTTCAAGGGAGGTTTTTGAAATTATCCCAAAAGAAAATAAATAAAAACTACTAAAGATCAACCTAGAAGAAGTCAAAAAAAAAAGTCTATCCTTGTCAGACGAGGAAAATTAACTATACAAGATTAGACTTTACCGGACCAGCCATAAGCAATTAGTGACCAATCCATCTGTTTCAATTTATTTGTCATGTTTCGAAAATTTAATTTTTTAAAAAATAATAATTTGATTGTGGTATTTATTTATTTATTTTTGGTCTTGCCTCTCATAAATTTAAAATTTTAATGACAACATGCATATGATTAAAAGAATGAACTATATTAAAAGAAAAGACTAAAAAGAGTTTTAACTTTTTTAATATAAAAAATATTTTAAAAACATTCGACAATTAAAAAAAAACATAATATTACTTTCAATGCAACCAACGGCGTAAAATTTTACACTGATTTAATCTTGAGTAAATCCAACACGAGTGGCATGTGCGCATTTTTATTTTTATTTTTTTGTTTCGAAGGTACGAGTGGCATACATTCAATCATCAATAATTCGACGTTGCTAGACAAGCTAACAAAAAGCCAAAAGGGCCCAAATTCCACGCTCCAAAAGAATACACCGCAAGCTTCCTAAAAGTCCATATCATGAAAACCGACGAAATGACCCTTGGAATGGCGATTGCCTCCACGTGCCCAGCTTGTGCTCCAAGCCATTTCATTCATAGTAAATGCTTAACTACGTGGCCCTATCCAGTCCGTCCACCTAACATCCCATGCACCACACTCGAATAATCCTGTGCTTCTGATGGATATCCTTCCACTGACTGCACAACGACCGGAATACACCAAAGCATATTCTCCGCCTCTACTTCCACTCTTCAGTTCAGCCTTTAATCATCTTCCATTTCATTTCAGACCATATTACCCCTCCCAAAATGTCCGGTTTTGGTAGAATGAAACGAGTCACCGATCCTCTCCACGATAAAGTCAAGGCTAGAATCGTCCCTGACTGTTTCAGCAGCGGCGGAAGTGATCACAGCGCTGATGCCGCCGCCGCCGCCGCCTACGACGAAGAGGATGTCATTTCGCCGAGCCTGTCCGAGCTTGTCTACGGTTCTCTCGTGGATGACGCCTGCAGCGATTCTCCTGCAGATGATGACTCGGATTCCGAGCGCGATTCCTCGGTACGTTATTATGACTCGGCCGTCAACTCCGCCGAAGACTCGATGAATCGCATCGCTCAGAAGAAAAATGCGGACTCCTTTGAAAAGATGCTCTGCGCCGATGTAACCAA